AGTTCACGGATTGTACATGAAGGCCATCACGCTTCTTTTTTCAAAGCAAAACACGAAAAAAAAAGATTGATTTTCAATCACTACTCTGACTGGAGGAGGACCAGCAGGGGTTGAGCGATGAACACATAGCTCTGCCGCGTACGTGTATGATGCTTGAATCTCTGACAGTGTTGCATACTCGTGAAACACAGTCATAAGTATGGCACAGATTCCCAGAACCAACCAGATAATACAGAGTAAGTACAATTACAGCGGAAGACTTGATACACGTGGACTGACTCAAACCTGACTCGGACTGCAATCAATCTCTCACAAACATGCATCGGTGGTGTGAAAACCCCTGGCTTTGGACATGGAAGAACGGCCAGGGTCTGATCTCATACACAGACGAATGGAGGGAAGGAGAGACGAAAGGAGGAGGAGAGGGAAGATGACGTCAATTTGATGTCTCCAAAAATAGTATCCCGAAATGTCAGAAGTAGCGAACATCCGAAATGTCGCGAATACAGAGTCTCACAGTGTCTCAGATATCGATCTCACAATGTCAAGATACGTTCCCAGAGGTAGCTGGAGTCAGATCCCAAAAGTAGTCCTCAACCCGAAGTCTCAAATGTTGCTATCCCTAATATCATCAGAACTCGTAACCATCCCTCATCCTTGTAGTAGTCCAGTAGGAGTAACCCGAGAAGCAGACTTAGACTTAGAGGGCAGGAAGAGAAAGAAGTGGAGGAGGAGAGGAGGAGAGAGAGGAAGAGGGAGGAAAGGTGAAGCCTTTCTCCCTGATACCTGGGTGGCCACGCTGGCTCTGCCGAAGACCGCTGGGCTGAGCTCAGCGATGCAGCTATGGCGCTGGGCGGCGTGATGAGCCAGAGCGCTGGTGCCAACTGCTGCTGCGCTAATGGCTGTGCTAATCCTCCTCGCAGCTCCGAAATCCTAACGCCGAGACGCAATCTCAGACTAACCTGTAGACTAACCTAACCTACTGAGGCTGGTACCCAGCTGATATAGCGCTGGGCCAGCCTCAAAGCTGCTGGTACCTTCGGGTCTGGACCGTTGATCAGCCGCAACGGTTCAGATCCGTTTCTGAAACTGAAAGTGGCGCCTAAACCTGGCTGCCATCAAACTGCGCCGCCGGTAGGTCCTAGCGTTCGACCGGTACCGGCCTGGCCCTTGTGACCGTTGGCCTACTCGGCCTCTGGGCCGACTTATGGGTCTGAACCGACCGACGTGACCCCTGACTCCAGGCCTAAACTAGCCTAACTACGGAACCGGGCCCTAACTGGGCCCGTGTGGTGTCAGAATGCCACAGACAGTGTCATGCAGAACATTCCAACGCTTAAATGCCTCTTTTCAAAACGCAAGAACGTTTGTGCATATCGACGGAATACAGACACACACACACACACAGAGAGAGAGAGAG